TTAAAGCACAAGTTGCCCCCCCCCCAGTTACTCTGGTCTAGAAGCACCACGGTTTAGGACTTCTGAACAATGATTGGGTCATTGCACAGAGGAAATGTCTTCATTCTGGGACTCAATACACGGACATAGAGAGTAAACCCTACCTCAGTGCACAGCAAGCTTGAACTGGGGTCTAGCCATGCGTGTGTGTGTGTGTGTGTGTGTGTGTGTGTGTGTGTGTGTGTGTGTGACCTACTGTCTGTCGTGCTCCGCCTGCAGCAGGGGTAAGAGGGCGATTCTGGTCTCCAGGTCCTCGATCTGCATTCGCCTGTCAGGAACAGCATATCATTCTGTCACAAACCCTACACTAAAGCGTGTGTGTGAGTGTGTGTATGTGTGTGTGTGTGTGTGTGCTCACCTTCGCTCTCGATTCCAGCGACAGAGCCTCCAGTACCCAAACATCATCACCCCGATACCAACAGTCTACATACTGTACCCTGCGGGAGGAGGAACACACACGCACACACGCGCACACACACTCGCACACACACACACGCGCAGTCAGCTACACTCGTATACACACGCGCTCATACACGCACACACACACGCACTCACATTCGCTTCTGCACTACTCGTGCACATGTTTACGCGACAATATTACCGTCATATTTATGCATTCGAGCCACTTCCAGAAAGTAAAATTTGGATCAAATCACCCTCATTTTTGAGGCATTTGCCACATGACACTATAAACAATATTTGTGATACCACACAATATCTCAAACAAAAGACGAGCGAAGGCCATTGTTTAGATTAAACAAATCACAGTTACGAACCCAAGCTAACTAAATGCAGTTTAAGCAANACAACATTTAATTATATTAAAAAAAATCCTATTCCCACATAAAGCCCGAAGGACTTTTATACTTAAGAAAAAGAAATCAATTTTTTTTATTTTGCTTTACAAAAAAAAGGATATATCTTTTTGAATATACATTTGGAAACAATAATTTCCATCGTTGTACAAGGAAACTTAAAAAACGATACAAGGGTTTTTACATGTTTTNGCAACCCTCCAAAACAAAGTCTAGAAA